TCTGCTTGTAGCACCTTCTTTGACTTACCAGGAGGCTTTTGAGGGCAATCTCGAGTAGCATGAGGCACGGGAGGTGGGTCATCTGCCTCCCTTGGCCGGTACCGCCCCTGCCTTTGGGGTTGAACTAACGTCTCCCAAACGCACTGCCTTCTGCTTCTCCCGGCCTTTCTGAGGGTCCTCCGCCTTTCTGCGCCCACGCTTCCTGCTCGACAGCCTCATCTTCCTGGAAGAGCGCGATGTCCGAGGGGTCCCAGTTCTCAAAGTAGCCCTGGTCCCACTCCAGGGTTTCATCCTGCTCATCCCAGTCCAGGTCCTCGAAGTTGGCCTGATGCCGGTCGTCAGCACCATCTCTTCGGCGAACCTGGCTGTCTGTCCAGTGAGCCCTCAAGGAGACCCCTTGAAGGGAGAAATGCGACTTGATGTCACACTGGATGATGCTCTCAAGGAGAAGCCACCCCTGGACCACATCAGGGAGAATGTCCACCGTCATCTCCTCGTCCTCATCGTCACATTGTGCTGGCGCTGCCATCCTTCCAGTGTGTTTGCTGCCAACCACCCCAGGCCCAGTCGCCACGCCAAGTCTAGTGAGAATCTCCCGACTCACTGTTGGCATGGTCTCCCTGAGTCTGGTACCACTGCAGCCACGGATCTCCGCCATCTGCGTCGCTTCCAGCTGCTGGTCCTTGACCACCGCCTTCCAGACTCCCCTGGAGCGGGGCCGCCTCACTGGCGGCTGCCTCTCCCAACGCTGGAAGTCCCGCACTGGTTTGCTGGGCCACCGGCCCTGAGATATCCCTGCCTTGGGTTGCCACGCTTTGCCAGCTAGTGCGTCTCGATCTCGTCCGCTTGTCCGGCACATGCGGCTTCTGGTCCTTCACCATCCGGGAAAGGGCTCGACAAACTCGTTCATACTCTTCACGGTGTCGGACGCAAAAGCTGGTCATAGTCTCACCCTTGCGCCTGCGAAGGTGCTTGAAGTACGCACGCAGGGTGTTGCCCACTTCTGGCAGAATTGGCTCCGAAATAGCTCCTTGCAGGTGCTTCAAGAGGCGGTGGACCCCATCTGGAGTTGACAACCATTGTGCCTTCTTGTTGGCAATTGAGGCTCTTGCTGGCCCAGTAAGTTCACTGGCCAGGCGAGGCCCGCAAAGGTAGCGGGTCTCCCACTTGGTTGTCTCCACGTATAGCAAGGCAGCTCTTCGGTATTCTGTCCAGGAGGCAGGATCGCCATTCCATGAAGGAATACTGTCCCGGTTTCGGGTCACTGTCATCTTGACGTCAGCTACGAGGCGCTCGCTTCCGTCGAGGTCAGGCTGATACAGCTGGCCTCCAAAAATAATCGGAGTTGGGCTCAGTCCTCCCTGGAGCCCCCCCGGTTCACAGTCAGTGAAACCGAGAGGGCTCCGCTACCATGCAAGCGATCGCGCCTGGTAGCTGCAGATTCTCGTTGACAGCGACTTCCTTTTCCACGGGCAGCGATGCGGCAAATCCTGGGCTAAGGAATGACTACCGGTAAGGAATCTCAGGGCCGGAATGGCTGGCAGCACGCACGTATGGTGAGTGCAGCTCTTGCCCAACTTGATTGTCCTTCGAACAATCTTGCAAGGGGTTTAGGGTTTAGGGGTATAGGCTTTAGGGTTTTGGGGTTGAGGGGATAGTGTGTAAGACCCCCTAGAATGGACTTGATATGAAGACAGCCTCCCATCAAATCCCGATTCAGGCTGATATATAGACCCCTGATTGATAAACCCCTTCCTTTTAAGGGCCTGAATAGTAGGATCCCTATTATAATCCCTAATAAGGGGAGGGGGTTTATTAGCCAGAGGTTTGGGTTAGCTTTTACTTCAAAGGGTTTCCAGCACTTGAGCCCAGCTCAGCCATGCAGCGAGGTTCTCTAAACTCCTTAACGGGGGTTATATAGGGTTTAGGGTTTAGGGTCTGAACTCCTGCAAGGGGGTTATATAGGGGATGATATAGGGGAGCATTAGAGGGCTTATTAAGGGGGATACTAGGAGTTTAGATTGTAGCTCATCTGGCGAATTTGGGGGGTTGCGGAGAAATTTAGGCTATCATGCCTACACTTACCAGGCTTCAAAGGGGTTATGGGATTATGCATTGGTATATATAGGGGCTATATATGGTATACAGAACTGGTTTAGGGTTAAATGGAGGTTTGGCAGTCTCAATCAGCCAGGTATATCCTCAGGGGGCCCCAGATAGCACACACGCTTTACAGACCTTAGCTTCCTTTGTAGAGCTTGGTTTGAGGGAGTCCTTCTTTGGGATTTGGGTTCAAGGTTTAGAGTTTCGGGTAACCCTAAACCCTGAATCCTAAACCCTAAGCCGTAGACCTTAACTCCTAAACTCCCATGAGTCCATCGTTTAACCTCAAAGAAATAGACGCAACTCCGAGAAGAGATAGGGATAAACCAGGATTCCTCTTCACTTCTTCTCATTTGGGGTTTAAGGTTCAGAGTTTAGGGTTTAGGGTCCAGGATTTACGGTTTAGGGTTGATTATAATCATAATGACTGCTAAACATCCCTAAGCTTTGCTCGTAAAGAGAAACCCCAACATCTTAGACCCCGAAGCTTGTGACTCTAAGCCCAAGGCGATCCTGCCTTTCCTTTGACGGGGTTCGTCCAGTGAGAGGTGACTCTAGGTCTCAGAGTGCAGGGTTTAGGGTTTAATGTTTAGGGTTTGGGGTTTAGAGTTTTTTAGCCCAAGGGTTTACCTTAAACCCTAAACCCCAAACCCCCGCACCCTAACCACCATCTCGACACAGGGCTTCAGCGACATGACGTGCTGCGTCTGAGCATGGGAGCCCGGCATTTTTTGAAGAATATCGAAGCATGGTCTGACACTTCTGAAGCACTCAAGTTAGATACATGTGAAAAGATATGAGCTATAGTCTAAACTCCTTAGGGGGTTATATAGGGGATTATATAAGGGAATATTTTAGAGGTTATTAAGGGGGATACTTGGAGTTTTAGACTATAGCTCACATGGTTGGTACTAAACATCCTGCATGGCCTTAGTATTTCTATAGCCACGGTGTAGGGTACTTCGGGTCATGCAGGATCTTTAGTACCCCGTGTATCAGCTGTGTTCTGATTGAAAGGGGCGCCCCAAACCCCTAAACCCTAATTCCTCAACTCTAAACCCTAAACCCCCAAACCCTAGATCCTAACCTACTTAGCCCCCCTGACTGGTTCAGGGCAAAAGTGGCAGGCTGTAAGCAGATCCTTAAACCCTATAGCCTAAATCTTAAAGCTCAAACCACGTAGATGTCTGTCCCGACATGCCTATATAGCCCTTCATATCCCTACTTATAGCACTTATGATAACCCACTCTAGTTCTTCAGCACGAATCCCAGCATCCCACCAAACGGAGATGACCGCACCGGACAAGTGGCGACTTGAGTCCAAAATATGGGCGTGCAAACCCTAAATCCTAAACCCTAAACCCTATAGCCCTAAAACCCTAAAACCCTAAACCCTTGGGTCTCAAATCTGGGTGCTCTCTCTGCTACCAGGACGCTGCGGAAGCCTGCCTCGCTCAGACTTTGTATAATGAGGGTTTTAGGTTTTAGGGTTTAGGGTTTCAGGGTCTTAGGGTTCTAGGTATTACGGTTCTAGGGTTCTAGGGTTTTAGGTTCTAGGGTTTTGTTGCTTTAGGGCTTTAGGGTTTTAGGGTTTTAGGGTTTAGGGTTTTAGGATTTTAGGTATTAGGGTTCTAGGGTTCTAGGGTTTTAGGTTTTAGGGTTCTTGGATTTTAGGGGTTTAGGGTTTTAGGATCTCAGGGTTTTAGGGTTTTAGGGTTTTAGTGTGTTAGGGTTTTAGGGTTTTAGGGTTCTAGGGTTTTAGGGTTTTAGGGTTTTAGGTATTAGGGTTCTAGGGTTCTATAGTTTTGGAGTTTTATTTAGGGTTTTAGGTATTAGGGTGCTAGGGCTGTAGGTTTTTAGCTTCTAGGGTTTTGGTTTTAGGGTGTTAGGGTGTTAGGGTTTTAGGGTTTTAGGGTTTTAGTGTGTTAGGGTTTTAGTGTGTTAGGGTTTTAGGGTTTTAGCGTTTCCGGGTTTTAGGGTTTTAGGGTCTTAGGGGTCTCGGGTTTTAGGGGTCTAGGGTTTTAGAGTTTTAGGGTTTTGGGGGGGTTTAGGGTTTTAGGGTTTTGGATGTTAGGGTTTTAGAGTTTCAGGGTTTTGGGTTATTCGGGTTTTAGGGTCTTGGGGTTTGAAGGTTTTAGGGTGTTAGGGTTCTAGGGTTTTAGGTTTTACGGTATTAGGGTTTTAGGGTGTGAGGGTTCTGGGGTTTTAGGTATTAGGGTTCTAGGGTTCTAGGGTTTTAGGGTTCTCGGGTTTTAGGGGTCTAGGGTTTCTGGGTTTTAGGGTGGGTTTCAGGGTTTTAGGGTTTTATGTATTAGGGTTCTAGTGTTTTAGGTTCTAGGGTTTTAGGTTTTTAGGGTTCTCGGGTTGTAGGGGTTTAGGGTTTTAGGGTTTCAGGGTTTCAGGGTTTCAGGGTTTTAGGGTTTTAGGGTTTTAGCGTTTCCGGGTTTTAGGGTTTTAGGGTCTTAGGGGTCTCGGGT